TTCAGCAGGCTGCCCAGCATGTACCCTAAAGGATCACTCTTCCAGTCAGCAGTCATTCTTTGCTCAAATACGGAAAAATTGTTGTTTGACCTTGTTTGCATCCAGTTTACCAAGCTGGTCTGATTGTTCTGTTAGTTTCTTTATAATTCACTGTCCTGAGCCTTATGCTCTCTACAAATTTCAGTAGCTAAGTTATCATGCTTACATTTACTGACTCCCATATTTACCTTGTTTATTGTTGTAGTATAGCAATGAAATTGTCTAGTGATACCATGTCAGATACTTTGTGGAAATCTGTTATACAAACCTTACCTTTTAACAAATGAGTCAATGATCTTACTGAGATCAAATCAGTTTGATTGTGCGTATTTTCAGTAATCTCATGCTGCTTAGTCTTTGTTGTATTTGCCTCTTTCACTTCCTTTATCCACGATATGATAAAATAGGCGCTCTTGAGTCCTCGTGGAGTGGTTCCTATTCCAGCTGAATGCTGAACAGTCAATGCTGAAGTTAAACTTTTCCAAGTAAGTTAGATTGGATCACTTAATTTGAAGAATGCTTGTTCTGCTTGCTCACTTGTTTTAGGTAAATCCGTTGCTTGAAGCTTTTGGCAATGCCCAGACTGTGATGAATGACAACAGCAGCCGCTTTGGAAAATACATACAGCTGCGTTTCCAGAAGAATACAGGTGAAGTCAAGGGCAATTACTAGTCTGGGGGATGGTTAGGCACTGGAGGGAGTGGACTGAGTAGCCAGAACTTGCAGAGGGTGAAATTTTGACACTTGACTCCCTGTGGGAAGGGTGTGCAATTAAGTAAAATTTTACAGCAACCACAGCTGTAGGATAAGGCCTGGGTTTGGACAGTGTGGGAATACAGGAAGGATAGGGGGGTGATGGTGCAGGGGAGGTATCAGTAATACTCTGCGGCACCAGAAGCCTTGGTTGGTGCTAAAGGAGGTGAGCAGACATCTCTAAGATGATGGGAAGCATGGAGAAGCCCATTTCCAGGGTGCTGGGCAGCCTAGAGGGTGTTGTACACAAGAAAGTTATTTTAGACAATTCCATGCTCCTATCACCAAATGAGAGATGCAGGACAGCTCAGTCAGCTTCATGTCCCCAAGTGCAATGTTTACCCTGTCACCTTCTTGTGTGCAGTGCGAGGTGCAAAGCTGAGTGAGTACCTGTTAGAGAAGTCACGAGTAGTGCAACAAGATACCAGGGAGAGGAATTTCCATATCTTCTACTACATGTTTGCTGGACTCTCTTCTGAGGAAAAGGAGATGTATGGGCTATTGGATCCTTCACTCTACAGGTACTTCAAAGGCAGACACTAGTTTAGTCTTCGTGATGGGGGATGGAGGGGAAAGCAGCGTAATGGAGCCTATGCCTCTGCCCTGTGGCTGTATCTGTGGAGTCTGGTACAGGTAAACGAACAGAAGAGTGGGATCTGAATGGAGCTGGATGAAGAAATCTTATGGGTCATCATGGAAGCTGGGAGGTCTGGAGTCTCTTCTTTGTTGCATTACCTTGGAAATGTTTCTTTCCCTTTCACGTCTCCACTGCTGCTGATCTGCTTTTTTCCATTGGGACTGACTTCCGGTGCTGATTGTGTGACGGTTTTGTGTGGGATATACCCTTTCTCAGGTACATAAGTGGACGATTCGGTACACAGGATGTAGCTCAGCGCTGGAAGCACAAATACCAAGAGGTGTGCAATGCCCTTGACATGGTGGGCTTCCAAGAACAGGTCAGTCTGGGGTCATTTAATTTCCATCTGTGCTTCCTGCAGGCATAGGGTTTCTTTCTGGCTGCTGTTTTGAGGCTCAGGGCTATTTCTCTCCATTCTGGATTTTCCATATTGCTTCCAAATGACCTGAGCCTGTCAGACTTTGTATAGAGCCTTTTCCCAGAGGCTGCCTGTGCCTTTCTCTCAGCTCTCCAACTTTGGGGGCCTCCATGTTGTCTGTTACATGCTGATAGGTTTTCAGTCACCTTTCTTTTGTGTTTTAGGAGCAAGTGGACATGCAGGCTATCTTGGCTGGTGTGTTGTCTCTGGGCAATGTGACCTTTGAGCCTGAGGAGAGCAATGGGTCTGTAAAAGTGAGTGAAGCCTCCCGGGGATGGCTGAAGGCTGCAGCGGTGAGTCACAAGAAGAGCTGACAGAAACCTTACGGATATGATGCTGGTTCCCACTGGCAGTGTGACTGCAGGAGCTGCTCCTGCCAGAGATGGCAGAGGACATTTCTGCCTCAGAGTGTGAACGCTCCTGGAGAACAAGGAGTTTTCAAGTGCAATGTTTACCCTGTCACCTTCTTGTGTGCAGTGCGAGGTGCAAAGCTGAGTGAGTACCTGTTAGAGAAGTCACGAGTAGTGCAACAAGATACCAGGGAGAGGAATTTCCATATCTTCTACTACATGTTTGCTGGACTCTCTTCTGAGGAAAAGGAGATGTATGGGCTATTGGATCCTTCACTCTACAGGTACTTCAAAGGCAGACACTAGTTTAGTCTTCGTGATGGGGGATGGAGGGGAAAGCAGCGTAATGGAGCCTATGCCTCTGCCCTGTGGCTGTATCTGTGGAGTCTGGTACAGGTAAACGAACAGAAGAGTGGGATCTGAATGGAGCTGGATGAAGAAATCTTATGGGTCATCATGGAAGCTGGGAGGTCTGGAGTCTCTTCTTTGTTGCATTACCTTGGAAATGTTTCTTTCCCTTTCACGTCTCCACTGCTGCTGATCTGCTTTTTTCCATTGGGACTGACTTCCGGTGCTGATTGTGTGACGGTTTTGTGTGGGATATACCCTTTCTCAGGTACATAAGTGGACGATTCGGTACACAGGATGTAGCTCAGCGCTGGAAGCACAAATACCAAGAGGTGTGCAATGCCCTTGACATGGTGGGCTTCCAAGAACAGGTCAGTCTGGGGTCATTTAATTTCCATCTGTGCTTCCTGCAGGCATAGGGTTTCTTTCTGGCTGCTGTTTTGAGGCTCAGGGCTATTTCTCTCCATTCTGGATTTTCCATATTGCTTCCAAATGACCTGAGCCTGTCAGACTTTGTATAGAGCCTTTTCCCAGAGGCTGCCTGTGCCTTTCTCTCAGCTCTCCAACTTTGGGGGCCTCCATGTTGTCTGTTACATGCTGATAGGTTTTCAGTCACCTTTCTTTTGTGTTTTAGGAGCAAGTGGACATGCAGGCTATCTTGGCTGGTGTGTTGTCTCTGGGCAATGTGACCTTTGAGCCTGAGGAGAGCAATGGGTCTGTAAAAGTGAGTGAAGCCTCCCGGGGATGGCTGAAGGCTGCAGCGGTGAGTCACAAGAAGAGCTGACAGAAACCTTACGGATATGATGCTGGTTCCCACTGGCAGTGTGACTGCAGGAGCTGCTCCTGCCAGAGATGGCAGAGGACATTTCTGCCTCAGAGTGTGAACGCTCCTGGAGAACAAGGAGTTTTTTCCAGAAATGCACAGTATGACCCCACGACTGCATTTGTGTTCACTGCTATTCATTCCCAAAGAGACCCTTCTCAACTTCTGTTCCTTGTGTGTCTAGAACCAGTGTCTTGTATATGGCGATATCACATGTGCCTTCTTGACTTCATACAATACAAGCTTTTTAAAATTAAATGTTTTATGTTACTAAGTGTGATGATGCCTTGGAGAAATTCAGGTGTGCAGTATCTGAACACTAGTTCTGTGTTTTCAACAGATCTTGTCCAAGGATACCACCTTAACTGCTATCAATTTTTGTTGGTTATCCAGAATTAAACTTCCTACTATTTCACGTGAATGAAAGTATCACAGATTAAGAAGTATATATTCCCCAGTACCATCCCGTTTTTATTATATGGGATGGATACATTATCCTGCTTTGTTAACCACACAGAACAGAAAAGTGTAACATATTTCTGCCTTTTCTACGTCTTTTTATTTTGACCTATTTGAAATCCCAGCACCCTTGGGTTTTGGTTTCACTCACATCTCTCTGCCTGTTTCCCTCCTACACCATACCAGAAACAACCACCTACATCTGTTCAGCAGCCAGCTTCTTTTTGTCTTACTTCTTAAAGTCTGCTCCTTGTTTTTTTGCCCAGGGGAGGGGAATTCCTGTTAAAGCAATGACTGAGGGGTTCAGTTGTGTCTGTTTGTTTCCTGTCTCTTGTGGGTTCGTGTTACTCTGATGTCTGCTGAAGCTCAGACCTCTCAGCACCTGCACAGTCACCTCTATGCGGTGCTGTTCAATAAGTCATTAAACCACTCAGCAGGGACTGGCGTGGCTCCCAGAGAAGGTGAAAGGTGGCAGCACTGGGAGAGCAAAAGAGAAGGTATTTCAGAAAGAGGGCAAGAGTGAGCTTGGTCACTGCAGGGATAATGCAGATCTCAGAGCCTGCATCTGACTCCAGTGCTGCGAGATGTTAACAGTAATACTTACCTTACAGCAGAGCTCAAAGGCCTGAATCTGAATCATGACCCCATTACACTGCGTGTTGCATGGACGCAAGGACATGCAATTCCCACAGGTAGAGCAAGGGTTTACTATTGATTGTCCTCATCTATTTCCTCTCTCCCAGGGCCAGTTTGGAGTCCAAGAAGATGAACTGTTAAAATGCCTTATTTGTAAAATGTCGGTGACCCGAGGAGAACAGATTCAGCGTTTTCACACCCAGCAGCAGGCAGAAGGTAAGAAACATAATGATTTGCAGATGTGCTGGCTAGAAAGACTGACCCGTATTTGGTGGAAGGGTATCCCCACACATGTGCAACTTGTTGGGAACAAAGATGTCTGTCTGTGCCCCATCATTCCTCTTGCACAGAGACAAGTATATCAATGTTTATCTGTTTAGTCTCTTACTGACATGTAGGACCATGAATGCTGCTTTTGTTTGATCTCCAGGAGACTTCAGAGATTAAGTGAGAAACCAAGGAATTAGCCTTGCTTTCTCCCTCAGTCCAGCCTAGAAGGAAACTGTAGGTATTTGTACCAAAGAGGGGAAGGCTCCTGTTGCAGAATGCTGGCAGTGTGCAGAGGCAGTAGGTGGAGAAATAACTGAGAGAATCAATGAGATAGCACAGTATCAGGGAAGGAGTGAGGTGAAAGGGGAGTATGTTAAAGTAGCAAGTGCACAGTGTTATTTTCTCTTTCAATAAGAAAAGAAAATAATCCAAGAGAATCTGCACAAAAAGGTTCAGTTAAAATAAAAGATTTTAAAAATTAAAAAAAAAAAGCATGAAAACCCAGGATTTCTAGATTATTGCTTAAAATAAATGAAAGAAAAAACTGAAAATGGGGAATTAGCTAGTTCTGTTTCCCGAATGTCTTCTCTTGCATCTCTCTAGACCATAAAATAAACATCTCCCATCAGTAGGTTCATCATGCAGTAGGTCATGTTGATTTGGTCTCCTTCTTGGAATGTCAGCAAGTTTTCCATCAATTGCGTCCTCCTCTTGTCCACAGTCTTTAAACATTTGGCAGCTGTGGGCAAGGAGGAACAGAACCATTCAATTTTCCAAGTACAACTTGGAGCCTCTCACTTAGTTTAGCAGTGAGGGGATCCGCACTCAGTAGGCCTTCAGAGGGGAAAGCAAATCTTTGGATATATTCTAAAGTGGCAGGACTTTTTTGGAAAGGCGATTTTCCATTTTACATGGTCTCACAAGTGCCCTAGTATGCCGTATCTGTTCTTGTAGAAAGATTGTGAAGATTTTTGAATGAAAGAGCTCTCTTTGAGCTTACAGAGGGCAGGGACAATCTGACAGATATCTAATGTTTATCTGATCTTTAAAATAGCTTCATAAACCACGAGACATTGTTGCTAGAGGTGGATGCCTTGAGCCAGCTCGTGTGCTGTGTTCCCTGCTCTCCTTGGAGCCCTTCAGTGAGCTGCTGTTGTCCTCTCTGTGCAGATGCTCGGGACTCCATTGCAAAGGTGGCATATGGCCGAGTATTTGGCTGGATCGTTTGCAAGATCAATGAGCTGCTGGCTGAGAACGTGGATCCTGAAGTGGAATTGAGGGAGATAGGTGAGTTCGGCCTGCCTTGCTCCTGTTCTGTCCTCAAATGTGCGTCCCTCAGACACAACGAAGGAAAGGCACAATGTGAGGTTTTGCAGAGATCGCATGCAGGGATCCATCATGAAAGACACGATTGTGTTGGAGATACCAGTCAGCAGCATGAATTCTGTAGGACCTTGGCCGACTCTGAGCAGTTGGTTAGTCTGAAGCGACCGGGAGGCTGTAGTTCTGGGACACTCTGTCTGGCTTTGCAGAGGAGCCGGGGGTGGGAGTAGGGCTTCTCCTCACTAGTTCTCCAAGGGGAGTTATGGGAGTGGTGCCGCTGGTAACTTAATTGGGGTTTCTCTGTGCCACAAGAGCTGGGTGATGGGAGATTTAGTTGTGTGTTGGGGTACGCAAGGTATCTGCAGGGATGGTCTGCAGGCTCCATGCTGTGCTCATCTTCCCTCCTTTAGGTATCTTGGATATTTTTGGGTTTGAAAACTTTGCAGTGAATCGTTTCGAACAGCTTTGCATAAACTTGGCCAATGAGCAGCTGCAGCACTTCTTCAACCATGTAAGTCTTCTGTGGGCGATCTCACCTTCTGCGGCAGAGAAAGCAGAGCACTGATCTACCTGGCATATGAAGGAGAGCTTGGGGAAAACAGGTCTGCTGCCTGGAAGGACAGAAATGGTGATTAGTGAAGCAGGGTAGAGAGCAGCAACCTTCTCTGCTGTGGCAGGGGAGCCACTGGGGCAGGGAAGGACGAAGTAGAAGGGTCAAGCAGTGACCAAAGTGGGCAGAGCAGGGACACTCACACTCTGAGAAGTGTTCCTGCATTAGGCACCAGCATCAGTGAGTGATAGGCTTATGGATGAGCATGCAGAACAGCAGTTTCATCCTGGCCTCTCATGCCATGGGTCAGAGAGCCACGCCTCTGTCCTCTGTTCAGGGTGGGAAGGAAGATGTTCAGGGCTGTCTAGCCAAGTCTGCTGGGTGCTCCTACCTCTTTTTTCTCTGTTTCAGCACATTTTCCAGCTGGAGCAGGCTGCCTATAAGGAAGAAGAGCTGCCTTGGGAGACAATCACATTCAACAATAATGAACCTATTCTGGTGAGTGAGAGGACTGACAGAAGAGAATTGCTCCATCCAGCCAACACAGGAGTCTTGCTGTCATGGGGAGGAAATGCACCTGGGAAGAACCTCTTCAAAGGGTGGTGTAGGTGAGAGTGGATGCCCTGTACTGCTTTAGATATCTGTAATGTGTCTCCTTTCCCTGCAGAATATGCTCCTGGCCAAGCCGCTTGGGCTCCTGTCTCTTCTGGATGAGCAGAGTGCATTCCCTCAGGTATGCATGAGACGGGGGCAGGGAGAATAGTGTGAGGGAATCTAGCAATAAATATCCGGGCTGCAAGAGAGAACTCTTATGTTGGAGCATGACTTTAAAGAGCAGGATGAGCAGAAGTGTTTCCATAGGTGACTGATGAGACAGGACAGCCAGATCAGGGACAGTCTAACGGTATAACGGTATTGGCATCCCTGTGGAGAGCCAGAGAGAGAGTACAGTATGAAACTGTTGCACAGCCAAGGCCACTTCAACACTTTTGTTTGCTTCCATGTGCCCTGATCAGGTCTCTGTTGCATCCTTATTGTTTGATTATGAAATCTGTTTTCTTGCAGGCAACTGATAAGACATTTGTGGATAAACTAAACAGCAGCTTCAAGGGGAATTTACACTACCAGCCAGGCCGAGGCCGTGTTTTGGGCTTCAGCATCATTCACTATGCTGGGAAAGTATGTACTGTTTGCAGGAAGAATGCTGTTGTAATGTATGTGGGAGGGGGAAATGTGTTGCTTGACAAATAAGGCTTTGATATTAAGGAGTGTATGGCTTTGATATTAAGGAGAGTATGGTCCAACAATGATATAACAGAAGCGATGTGTTCCCAGGGAGTTGGGAGCTCTGGTCTTAGAATAGTCCTCTATAAAATAAAAGCCCTGCATCCACTGTGCAGCACCCAAGGACAGTCTAATGGCTTCACCTTTACCTATTGGGTTCCAGAGCATAGCAGTCACTATTTTATTGCAAACACTGAGGAACACAGTGAAAGCAGCCAGGTGTTTTCAAAGTGGAGGCAATTATTTACACATTCAATGGTATCTAAGCAGCTTGGGGTTTAGGACTATGCATGTAACCTTACTGCCACCAGTTTTGAAAGCATTGGCCCAATGCTTTGGCCAATTTTGCTTTGGCCCAATGCTTTTGGCCCAATACGTTGAATTGATTGGAGATAATTTTTGGAGCAGGAGCAGACGTGACAATTCAGATTGTCATATGCAATTTCGTAATCTAATCTCACCATTGTTGACTAAGTGACATTCTTCATGACAAAAATTAACACCTAACATAGAAAGGAGAGTGGCAGGCTGCAGATGAGAAAGGAAGGGAGCAAGAGAAACAAGGGGATGCATGACAACAAGATGGAAGCCTATTCAAAGGGAAGAGGGGGAGAGCAAGGAAAAGAGTGAAGCATAAACCAAAAGTAAATGAAACTTCATAATCAAGGAAAGGAGAACAAGAAAAGGTGGAGTGTTATGCTCCACTCCTGTGGTTCTAATGCCTCAGTGCTGTCCGCAGGGTTTTGTTCCTCAGGATTTGCATATGAATGGAGTGCATATGCATTTACAAAATTCGTGTGCGAGCCAGTGTACAGAATTCACATGTAAGCCAGTGTACATGCAGTTTAACAGTTGCTCCTGGCAAGCTGTGGAGGTGGCTTTCACAGCAAGCCCGTGAGCACTGCTGGCCTTAGTGACTTGCTGCCCTTTCCCCTAGGTGCAATATACTGCTGAGGGCTTTCTAGAGAAGAACAGAGACACCTTGCCAGCCAACATCCATGGGCTCTTCATCAACAGCATCACCCCCTTGCTCAGCATGCTGTTCACAGGCAAGTCCCTCTGCTATGAAAGGGCATCCCACATGAATCAAGGCCCACCTTGGCAAAGTTAAGTGTGGGGATGAGGCTCTTGTGCTAAGAATGTGTTTCACAGCTGGCAGCCGCAGGGAAGCTCTGGGAAGGCTGCAGCCTGGTGTGGGGCTGCCGGTATATACCGAGCTGTTGCAGCTGTTTGTTCCCCTGTGGAAAGCAAGGCAGGTTGTGTCCTCGTCCAGAGAAGTAGCCACTGCTCAGATGTCTTCCCTCAGATCAGATAGCCCGTCTTCTCCAGGGCTGGTGCAGGACTGTCTCCACTGGCCCTTTCCATGTGCTCTGTTCTTATCTAGAAATGGACAAGGTCATAGCTTCTAGCTTTTCACACTGAAAATAGAGTGCTGTAAAGCCACAAGCAATAAGTAGAAATAATGCTTTTCAAACACATTTTGTTTTTCAGGTAGAACTTGTTAAAAAAACTCTGTGGTCGTGCATTATTTTTCTCCCGCACCTACACTCCGTTTTTCCAGTTATTAATAAGCCCTCAGAGACTCCAAGGCTTCTGTGAAAGTAAACATTTAAAGAAAAGTCAGGTGGATGCTTCCTTGGAATTTGTCTGGCTGAACAGAGTGCTTCTGGTGCAGAATTTTTTTTTTTGTCCTGTTCAGTCCATGCCAGTTTCCGGGATTTACAAGTAACTAATGAATTTCATTTCTATTCTCCACTGTGTTTTTCAGCTCTTCTGCTCAGGAGTATCTTTCTTGATTACCACTTCCACACTGTTACTGAAGATACTTAGTCTAGTCCCAACTCTTTGAAAGTTCACGAAGAGCAGAGATAACCTATCCTCAGATTGGTTCTCCAGTCCTGGGCAGCCGCCTCTAGGTGGCCCTGCTCAGCAAAGGGGTTGGCCCAGATGACCTCCAGAGGTCCTTTCCAACCTCGCCCTATCTGTGATTCTATGATCCACATGAGACTGCTGCATCAACAGCATGCAAGGCTGTCATTAGATCCTTCAGTAAATTCAACTTCCCTGAATTTTTCATCTTGTCACTGAATTAGTTTTAAGCTATCTGACTTTGTATAACCTCCTGTCTTGACTGCTGTAGGTGAGCTTCCCATTTGCTGTCCGTACTTTTCTTCTGCATTGTTACATGCCCATTGATGATATTTCTTTTGAAGGTCATATAGCATTGTTCAATAACCTGATTGCCTTGTCTTCTCAGTGGCAGAGAATAATATTGCCTGCATTGTATGCTTCATATATTTGCATTTTTTTCTCCCTTTCTTTAGCTCTTTCCTTGTATTTCCACATGGTGAAACCTAATGCCCTGTCTGTGATTCAGTATTTGTAGGGAGTCTTGTGTGTGAAGCGATGTTTGAATGTTTAGAGTCATGGTTGATTGTGAGCCAAGGTACAAAACTAACCATTGTCCCTGTTCTTCCAGCCACTATCTCCAGGACAGGGACACTGATGCCTCACGTGAAAGCCAAGGTATTGCACTTCAGGTCCACGTGGCAATTGATAAATGGTGGCACAGTTACCTGACATTTATTATTTGAGAAACTGGCTGAAAATGAGAGCAGACAGAAATTGGTTGAAAATAAGAGCAGACAGCAATCTGCTTGCAACAATTTCTCCTTTGTTTTCTACCGGGTTTTCTGCTTGCTTCTGCTGATATGTTTAACTTGTCTTCCCTCCCCTGAAATCCATTCTCTCTCCGTTTTGCCATCTGCCTTCCAGCGGAGCTCTTTGGATGGCAATCAAGCACTTCTTCCAGGGGTGATCTTTTGTTTGGGTCTGGTTTCAGGTCATGCCAGGAGCAGACAACAAGTTCAACAGCACACGAAAACAGTCTGCCGGAGCTCAGTTCCGGGTAAAGTATCGCTGCCCCACACTGCCCCTTGGGATGAGTGCAGTGATATTTTAGTGAGAGCTTCCAGGCTGCTAAGTGTAGTTAAAGCACCCAGCACGTAGATGGGGGTTTTTCTGGGTGCCAAGCACAGCTGATCACGGTGAGAGTAACCCGGTTGTTATCAGAGCCTCGGAAGTTGCTGTAGGGTGGGAAAATGGTTCTTGCTGCAGGATATTGCACACCGGGCTCCGGCAGTGCTTTGGCTTGCTGGACTGTTGATCTTTCTTTCTCTGTGCTCACCAGCATTCCCTGATGGTGCTCATGGAGAGGATGTATTCTGCCAACCCGCACTTTGTGCGCTGTATAAAGCCCAACAGCCAGAAGGACCCAGGTGTGGTGGACAGCCAGGTGGTGCTGCTGCAGGTGAGGAGAAGCAGTGTCCTTTACAGGTGCTTCTGCCACGTCTCAGTGCAGAGGGCAGACCCCACCAAAAGGCCGTGGAGATAGCTGGAAGCTGACTAGTCTGAGTCTCCCCTTGCAAGAGAAAGAGTAGGCACACTTTTTATGCATGTAAAGATTCTGGGTAATTGCTTGGTTTTGTGACACAGGCTGCTAGGTCCAGGTTTTGCAGTCTTAGTTCTCTCCCATTTCTTTTTCATGAATGCAATGAGATCTGCTTGTCAGGCCTGGATGGGGACTGGTACTGACAGTACTCCAGAAAAAATGATGCTTCCCAGAGGAAACTGTTCTCACCCGTCAGCCAAGGCAACTCTGAATAGGAGCCAAGATGGGATCACTTTGATAGGAGCTGACATGTGCTGATATGACTGTCTTTGGATATTGTGTCAGGTCTGAGATCCAGATGCTTTAAAGAATACTGAAAATGATCAGAAGAATTCAGAAATCTCTGTGGCCTGTTTAATATATATAAGAACGGATAGGATTAAGAGGGAAGTTCATCCGTGCCTCAGAGTACTTCTTTGTCCAGATTAGGAAGTAAAAGGCTATCCTCCAAGAGACAGAGGCAAAGCAGTACGCATGGCTGGAAGGTGAAGTTATTTCAGTCATTGGTTTTTATGGTTTCCAACTTTTAACTGAGAGTGGTTAATCATCACAGTTACAGGATGTGGTAAATTCAGTCTTTAACCAAGGAAACATTTTCAGAAGTAAACTTTTTCGTTTTGAACTAGAGAAATTTAGGGCTGAGTGAAGGCATTTCTGGCTGCAGAGGAAAAAACAGATGACCTGTTTCTGTTTGTTTCTCTGATCCTCTTTGTGGTGCTGCTTCAGCTCCGGTACAACGGACTGCTGGAGACAATCCGTATCCGAAGACATGGTTTCTCCTGGAGACCCTCGTTTGAGGAATTTGCTGAAAGGTTTGTTAAAACCTCTGAATGTTCCTTGTTAGATATTGTTAGGGAAACAACCCTGGTAACCAGATATGGGCAAGGAGTGAAACAGCCTTTTCAAAGTTTATGTGCCTAAGATCATGGGGTTGTTTGCTGTGGGAGGCTGAGTGGGAAAGACAGTGATTTATTGTTGTTTGCTATGAGGGTGACATGGATCAGCTCAGCACATCAAGGATGTGGCTCTTACCTTGCTGTATTGGTTTGTTTTTCACAGATATGGAATTCTTCTAGTTAAACCAGATGTTTCCCTCACTAAAGAAAGGTAGGAACTCTTCTTTTGTTACATGCAATCCAGTTTGTTCTTCAGAGACTTTTGCTCTCAGAGTAGCATAGCAAATTGAGTAAAAGGAACAAAGTGAGGAGGAATTTTGTGGTGATGGGGAACACAAATCCCTAGGCAAGGACAGTTAGTGTTTAAAAAGCATTTGGTACAATGATGAATGAAATCTTTCTTGAATTGCTATGTAGCAATTCAATTACTGGAAAACCTTGCTATTCTGTGGAATGAGAACTGGCTAATGTACTCAATTTAGGGAGTCACAGTAATGGTCAAGGGTATCCACTGAACTCCGTGTGGCAGGGACTCAGGCTTTTTGCTGATGGCCTCATGGGAGAAGAAGAAGATAAAGACAATGCTGAGCAAGCAGCCAGCACTGAATGTCTCCCAGGCTGGAGAGGATTTTTGTGGTCCAAGAATTTTTTATGTGTACAGGCATAATATACCCCCAGCACTTTCAGAACCTGACTGTTCCTTACACACATAAATGTCCCTCCAGCTTTTCAGTCTTACCCTGTCAGCTTTTTACTTCCTACAGCTAGGGCAGCAGCTCCCCACCTTTTCTTTTCCACTTTCCCTGTCCCTCCTTCCTGCCGTCGTCAATTGTGACTGGTAGTGAAAATGAAGTATGTAGGGCAGCCAGATGATTTTTTTTTTTTTTTTAATTAAGAAAAGGATATGAATGCTCTCCTGGAAAAGTTCTCTCCTGGCAGTAGCTCCTCCAGCCTTCACAGAGCTTCCTTGAAGTTACTGATGATACTGAATTAATAAGAATTGTAAACCCAATTGAGGCCCAAGTCAAGAGAGAATCTCATGGATGAGAGAAAGATGATGGTAGACAGGCAGCACGGTGTGTTTTCAGACAGAAAAATCATAGGATGCTTTTGAGAAAAGAATTACCTTGGATATAGATTCTGGCACAGCGGAAGTTGGCTGAGATAGAAGGAAAAGCACTTCTGCTTTGCTATATGAGATACTAGCAAAAAGTGCCACTATGGTTTCACAGCCTGGATTTGCAGGCAGAGGGAGGAAGCTGTCTGTGTGGTGCAGATAGAGTATTGCTTTCAATTCCAAGTGTTGCTGAATCTTTCTGAGTGACCCAGATTTTATCACTAGAGTCTGCGAAATGAAACTGGAATTGGAAAACAGACTTTCTTCTGGAAGTCTTGCTTTGCCAACCTTGCAACTTGTGTGCTCCAAAGAGCTTAGAAATGAAATGAGGGAAAACAGTTCTGAGAAGAAAATAGGCTCTGCAGAATTGCCTCCCAGGGAGCTGAAGGAAATCTGCCTCTAGGAAACCCATTGCTGATGTTTCTGAATGTGATCCTAGCTGTACCTCAAGGAGCACTACAGATTGACAGCCAGTTACTGAATGTGATCGGGTGACAGGGGACAGAGAATGTAATGCAGAATCATTGAGGCACTTTCTTCCTCTTTATGCACCTAAAACCACTGGCTGCGTGGTGCTCACTTTGGGTGGAAAATGATTTATTTCACTTTTTTCCTTTCTTTCAGCTGCTTGGAGATACTGCAAAGTACAGAGCTGACAGGCTGGCTGTGTGGGTAGGTGTGGATCACTGTTGCTGGGAATGAGGGGCCTGAACTGCAGAGACTTTATACATGTAGACTGTTGTCTGGTTCTCTTCAGGGAGAACTTTGTGGCTGTAGGAAGAGCCTGTCCAAAGGATGATTGGATGCAAGTCTAGACAAACTGTTTCTCACTGCTTCTTTCTCTCCCCAACTTCTCAGGAAGTCACGACTTTTCTTTAAATATTGGCACCAGGAACAGCTGGCAAAGTACGTGGAGCGACTGGAAAGAGCAGCAGTTGTCATACAGAAAGGTGAGCACTGGGGCAGCAGAGTCCCTCAACTTATCTCAGACCAGGGCAAGGAAAAACTTTTCTCCGGTCCCTGCTCCACCATTGCGCCTTTGCAGATGACAGAAAGGCAGGCCAGGCGCCATCTCCACGTCAAGGCCCTGTGGAGTCAGAGTGCTTATTGCAGGTGCCCACCTCCTCAGTGCTCATCCTCAATCGGGGAGAGTCATCAGACAGTGTGAGCCTTGGAAAGGGAAAGCACGTGTGCAGGACAACTGAGCTGAGCAGGAGAGCATATGATTTGGCCGCGTCCCAAGATCTGGGTTACCGTCCTCTGGAGTGAGGGCTTGTTTGTGAATGGTGTTGAACTGAGGAGAGGGAAAGGAAGAGGAGTGAAG